CAACAACATTAGACTCAGAACCTGCTGAGCTTAAGTGCTGCACTGAAAAGGGAGGGAAAAAATGAGTGTGATGGCTGAGGGAAAGTTGAAGGCCATGGCAATAGCTGTTGAACCTTCCTGTATAAACTCCCCATCCTTCAAATGGTCTTGAACTGGCTCACTGGCCAGGCAGAAAATGGAATAACAAGAGAAAGGAAAGGGAATTAGATGTTCTAAAGAAGAAGGAGCTGCCTAAACCCCTTGGCTGAAACTGCCAGCCTAACTTGTCTGTGTAAAGGAAGAACAAATGCCATTAAATGGTAACACAGCTTATCTTTTTGGTTGGACATTTTAATTTGATACAATAGTTTGAAAGCTCCAAACTTCACGGGAGACTGTTATAAAGCTATGTTCCTAAAGCTTCAGGCACTGGAATGAATAAATGTAACTGAACCTTCTACACCTTGGTGTATCTACTTTTTGCTTTCTGGCACCTGCAACTAGTACTGTAGTTCATCCCTCTCTGCCTAAAGTAGTCACTACCATATCTCTAGATATTACTCCCATGAGACTATTTATGCATGATTCATCTATATTGGCAGGTGCTGCAATTTATCTCCCCCCCCCCATCAAATCTGAACAAATGTAAAAAAAAAATTGAACATAGAATACCTGGATGTTCTTGTCAGGTGTATAAAGAAAGGAAAATTCTTCCCAGGAAAATGTGGAAGTATATGTGGTCTGCACTGTCATCTTACTACAGAGAGAGAAGCTACTTCAATATATCATATATATATGGTCTAATCCAGGGTTGTCAAATTTGGGGGGCAGATGAGTCACGCGCTGGCCACACCCACAACTGGTTTAGCAAAGGGGGAAAAAGTCACAATATGTCATGTATTGTGATGACGCAAGTTTGATACCCCTGGTCTAGTCCAATCGGTTTTATCCACAGTTAACAAACAAAATTTAAAAAGCCCTGTGTTTATGGTTCAGAGCTGCATAAAACACTGAAATAGTATCATCCTGAAATATTTTAAAGTTATATATATATTTAAGTTAATGTTCCTAAGC